GGACCTTTGTCAATGCAGAATGTATAATTGCCCATATCTTCATAGGAAGTTTTAAGAAATTGTTTTATCATTTTTTATGGCGTAAAATTAAGCAATTTATGGTAAAGATCAACATGTTTGCAACATCGTTTACAAAGTTTATTTAGATACATTATCTATATAGCAACCACTTTAGTAAGTGGTGCTCGATATTTCAAAATTAATTTATGAAAAAACCAAAGCTAATTTATGAAGTAAGAAATCATGTTTCGTTGACATAAATTTGAAAGTGATATATCATGTTTGGCTTGGCAAACCCTTGAATGTAACAATGTAGACTTGAATTTAACTTCATATTATAGTCTTAAAACAGGGAAAACTGTTTGCAATTTTTGTATTTTGCACTTTAAAGATTATCTGAATTATTATTATTATTAATATCTTGATTCTATATGTCAAGTTAAAGACAAGGTTCTAAGCTCCTGTTTGCAAAGGGCATTAAAAACAACAATTCTGGGCTGGCCCGGTGGTGCACTGCTGTAGTGTGCTGCTTGGGAGCGTGGTGGCCCTCCCGCCGTGGGTTCGGATCCCACATACAGACCGGTTCCCGCTCACTGGCTGAGCGAGGNGATGGGCCATAATAATCATATACAGTGTATATTGACAAAATAAAAAAAAAATAAAATAAAAGGTGAGAAGAATCTTTTAAGAGTTGCTTAAGCTCTTCAAACCCACCCATGAAGGAGTACAATTCTCAAAAGATGTTCGCTCATGCCACCTCCAGCGTACGCTTCCCCTCTTTTCACAGTCTTCTCGTGTAAAAAAGAAGGCAAATATTGCCTTTCCAGTGTGATGCAGAACCTCTGAGCTATGCCAGTTTCTTTCCCCTTGGGTAATTTTTCTGACATTAACTGCTAACAACAGGGCTGCAAACAGTCGCTTCTCCCCCCAGGGGCTAGAGAAGAAGAGCAAACACCTGAAAGACACAGGCCAAATGCAGTTTTGGTAGCAGCTAGTAAATGCATGACATATGTCTAAGCAGAGTTTACTGTTTCTGCAGCTATGAAGTGGTTAGTTCCCTTACTTCCAACTGTATACCCTGGCATTTTACATGCACCACTGTTATTCTAGATCAGTGTCTAAGACAAGATTAAGGCATTTCCCCCTTGATAAACAAACATAATGAACAGCATCAGCACTGTTCCCCAGATCATTGTGTGACTGAATTCAACTAATCCCTGAGGTTTGGCCATTTTTTTAAATCAGAAGGCTATTTGCTAGCTAAAGAAAAACAGCATGAACATACATTGCATTCAAAAACTCAGTGGCACGTGTGGCTTTTAGAGATCTTTAGTGATCTCATTCCTTGCCTCAAAATCATTTGGAAAAAAAGTAGGTAAGTAGTGTCAATATATTTAATTATCAGTTCTGAAATTATTAATTTGCTACACCTATTTAATTTATAAAATTGTGAGGGTACGTAAAGATTCCTTTTTTCTTCCAAGAAAAAATAATGAGAGCTTTATTTTGTTTTTTTGGGGGGGGTTAAAATTTCTATATTAATTGGACCTTTGTCAATGCAGAATGTATAATTGCCCATATCTTCATAGGAAGTTTTAAGAAATTCCTATGAGAATTTCTTAAGAAAAATCATTTTTTATGGCGTAAAATTAAGCAATTTATGGTAAAGATCAACATGTT